GGCTGAGAAGCTATGTTATACAATTAGTGCTTTCTTCTATCCAGTCAGACGCTATTCCCTACTGGGTCATGACAACTTGTATAAGACTAACAAGTTGGACTTAGAATGTAGCTTAGTGGTAAAGTGCTTGCCTAGCATGCATGAAGCCCTGGGCTCGATTCCTCAGTACCACATACACAGAAAAAGCTAGAAGTGGTGCTGTGGCTCAAGTGGTAGAGTGCTAGCCTTGAACAAAAGAAGTGCAGGGACAGTGCCCAGGTCCTGAGTTCAAGCCCCAGGACTGGCCAAAAAAAAAAAAGACTAACAAGTTAAGAACCTATGTTTTGGTTAAGAAAACATATCCAGCACTGTAGGTTTCGATGATCTTCCTTATTCTTTTATCAGCACCCAATGACTTCAGGTTGCTTCTGGGAGTTACATTTGCTTTAAAAAGATAAAGGAAGTACTCCTAGCGAAGGCACCAAAAAAAAAAAAAAAGAAAAGAAATCAGCTGTAGGTTCTGAAGGCAACTTCAAAAGAACTGTAAATTATTTGACAAATGAAATTCTGTGCTTAGCTTTCTTTCATCTTCTGAAGTGATTATTTAGGAGGTGATCATTTAGTAGCTTGATACGGATGTTGCTTTAAAACAAAGTTCATTATCTGGAATAGAAATTTGCTCAAAGAGGGCTGGGAAGGTGGCTCAGTGGTAGAGTGCTTGTCTTGCATGCCTGAGGCCCTGGGTTCAATTCCTCAGCACCACATAAGCAAAAAGAAAAAAAGCTGGAAGTGGCGCTGTGGCTCAAGTGGTAGAGCACTAGCCTTGAGCTGAAGAGCTGAGGGACAGCACCCAGGCCCAGAGTTCAGGCCCCACAACCGGGCCCCCCCCCCAAAAAAACCCGAAATTTGTTCAAAGAAGAGCAAGAATATGGACTTCTGTCTAAGCATTTATCTCTGTTCAATAAAAATGCAATCCCTGGACTAAGGACATTTCTCTTGAAGATTTGGAATACAGCGCCCCCTGGTGCATTTTATGAGTGGGGGCTTTTCCCCTTACCTGTTTAGATAACATATTCAACTTTAGTAAAAACATTATGAATTCAAGTTATAGAGGAGTAAAAGTCCTTAGTTAAATTTCCATAGTAAGAATGATTATAATAATACTTCAATTATGTAGTGTCAGATATTGTTACTTCTTATTTGTGAATAAAAGTAATTATTACTTTAAAAATGTCAACTTAGGGGGTTACATGAAAGGAAGAAAGCATCCATGGCTAATATAGGAGACCAGACCTAGAAAAGGAAGAATTCTCACATTCTTCAAAGGACACTGATCACACACAAAAACATAAAAGCAATATATAAGCACTTAAAAATCTTCTGACTCCTGACTCATCTCTCCAGCATGAATACAATACAAATGAGGCCAGCAAGACTCATAAGGTAGGAAAAGAAAAGCATATGAAGCCTATTTTTGTGTTTATTCAGTATAACCTACAAAAGGATCCTTTCCTCACTCTCTCCATTGACTCCTTCCAAAAAAATTATTCAGACTTCTCCAGAATCCTATAACAAATGTAAACCAACAAATGAACAGCAACACATAAGCCCAAAGGACTGTGAATGTTTCAAAGACTAAAATTGGGAATACATTTGATAACAAACTCATTTACTTATCTAGTTAGAATTCTGTAATCTTAGAAAAATAGTACTTTTCATAAACTTTAAGGTATATGGAGATGTTTCTAATTGGGTAAAATATTAAAAATACTATTTGGGATTTTTTTTGTCTTAAAAACTGTTTTACTCTTTCCTTTTATTAACGCAGTAAAACTCAAACCAACTGGAGGAAATGGACATGAAAGAACTAGATCTTCTGCTTTAAGACTCATGTCAGTGCTTAGTTCTTGAGGTTCAACTACAAGGTCAATGAGAAGCTCCACTTAGTATCAGAGCTTCTCACCCAAGGTGACCAGTCCTGTTTGTTCCTTCTCTCTGTGCTAGCAAGCTACGGGGAATTCTCCCTCAACAACTCTTCTCCAGTCTCTCTCCTTTGCTTCCGTAGCTTCTAGAGCAAATACTAGACCATTCTGTTCCCTTGCCTTTTAGGCACAGGGCTCTCCTTCTGTATGTCATATTAAAATAACACAGGGTGAGATTGGGGGCTGATCCCTGAAGTATCTCCACCACTGCTCTCACCCCCAGCTCCATCTCTGCTAAGCCATTTCTTTTGTTTGTGGTTCTGTTCTGTTATTCTGACTGGATTTGAATTCAAGGGATAGGGAATTTCCATCCCAGGGACTATGTAAGGACCTTGAAATGGTTTGGGACATGATAGGGGACAGACACATATTTTCAAAGGATTCTCACCAGCTGCCCAAGGCCATCTGCTTGTGTGGATAATTTTATATGACTTATGAATCATGTTATAAATATCTGAATGGTCCTTGGCAGAAAAAAGGCTCCTCACTCCTGGTTTCTGTGCCTTCCTGAAATGTCTAACAACAGCAGTAACTCTTGGTTTTACACTGGGCACTGGTAGCTCTCGCCTGTAATTCTAGCTATTCAGGAGGCTGAGATCTGAGGATCGTGGCTCCAAACCAACCTATGCAGAAAAGTCCATAAGATTCTTATCTCCAATTAACCACCGAAAAGCCAGAAGTAGAACTATGGCTCAAAGGAGCAGAGCACTATCCTTGATCAAGAAAAGCTAAGGGATAGGCCCTGAGTTCAAGTCCTAGGACCAGCAAAGACACAGAGAAAACACACACACACACACACACACACACACACACACACACACACACACACAGAACTAGTTTTACTAGTTCCATTAGAATATACTGTGCCTGCCTAATGAAAGATAGTGTTCAAGAGTGAGGAGCAAAATGGTCTGTGCGAGCAACCTGCTTTAACCAGCTCACAGAGAGTCACTGCTCAGTGAGAAAATAATGCCAAGGGTCATAAAGCTTGCTGCTTCCTAGAACCACCCATAGAATATCTTAATTATTTTTATAACTATTCAAACTGGAAAAATAATAAATATTTCACTTATTTTTAAGAAGTTGGTTTCTAACAGTTACAATAAGTAAAAAAAACCAAAAAACAAAAAACACAGTTATCTGGCACTGATGCGAGTTTCCAGTGCAATGGAATGAACAGGTAATAAAGAGACAAATAACTAGGAAACCAACACAGCTATAAATGCCGCAGGAAACTACAGAGTGCCACACGCACACACAGCAAAGATCCAGCCTGAGTGGATGGGCCAGGTACGAAGAAGGCTCCAGCGGTTGGACCAGGTATGAAGAAGACTCCGGTGAGGAAAGATCTGGGGAAACACAGAGTGCCACGTGTACACACAGCAGAGACTCGGCCTGAGTGGGCTGGGCCAGGTGTAAGGAAGGCTCCAGTGAACTGAGAAATGGGAGGAGGGAAGGCAAGGAGCACCATGGTGGCTAAGAAGGTTATGAAGCAGGAAGGAGCCACGTATTCCATGACATTGTGATGACAGATCATCTGCCTAACGATAGCAGGCGGGTGAAGAGTTTTAACTGTACTACTAATTAAATGATTAAATCACTTATGCAAAGGGTCTAACAGGATTCCAGGACCACAGCGGGGAGCCAGTAAATGCTGATTCCTAGACACATCTTGCAGAACTTATTTCTGTATCTATCTAGTATTAATCCATTAATCTTTATAAACTGAATTAGTTTATTTAATTGTAATCAAGTGCCAATTACCTTCTAAGTTAATATAAAGTAGAATTTCAACTATATTAGACATTAGGAGTTAATTGAATAGCAGGATGATCTTGTGATTTCATTTTTTTTTTTTTTTTTGTCGGTCATGGGGCTTGAACTCTGCACCAGGGCGCTGTCCCTCAGCTCTTCAGCTCAAGGCTAGTGCTCTACCACTTGAGCCACAGTGCCACTTCCCGTTTTCTGGTGGTTTGAGATAAGGGGGTGGGGAACTGAGAAGGTGGCTCAGTGGTAGAGCGCTTGCCTTGCATGCATGAGGCCCCAGGTTCAATTCCTCAGCACCACATAAGCAGAAAAAAGCTGGAAGTGGTGCTGTGGCTCAAGTGGCAGAACACTAGCTTTGAGCTGAAGAGCTGAAGGACAGTGTCCAGGCCCAGACTTCAAGCCCCACGACTGACAAAAAAAAGTTTTACAGACTTTTCTGCCCAGGCTGGCTTTGAACCATGATCCTCAGATCTCAGCCTCCTGAGTAGCTAGGATTACAGGCATGAACCACCATCGCCCGGCGATCTTATGATTTTTAAGAGTGCTAAAAGTTTAGTAAATACAATGAAGGAAGCCTCTGTATCGGTATATTGATTTTACTCTTAGTTTTCCACCACGATTAGTTACACACCAAGATGAATGAGCTGCAACTGAAACAATATGGAGTTATAAAAGCATAATTTAAAGAGATCCAAGTTTAATATTGTAAATTTGCTTAGAAGCTAAAAAATATGTCTTCAAGAAAGGCTGAAGAGTATTCAGAACCATCTGTAGTTTATATCTTATCAACCATCTAATTCACACAGTTGTCAGTGTCATATATTATCAGGAACTTTTGGCTATTTGGATTTCTTATACATATTTTTTCAAATGACTCTGCAATCCATTAAAAACAGTCCATTAAGCTAGGTGCCAGTGGCTCACACCTGTAATCCTAGCTACTCAGGAGGCTGAGATCTGAGGATCATGGTTCGAAGCCAGCCCGGGCAAGGAAAGTTCGAGAGACTCCTATCTCCAATTAATCACCAGAAAACCAGAAGTAGGGCTGTGGTTCAAAGTGGTAGAGCACTAGCCTTGAGCTGAAGATCTGAGGGACAGTGCCCAGGTCCAGAGTTCAAGCCCCATGACTGACAAAAACAACAACCAAAAACCCCAGTCCATTAAAACTGTTTGCTAGCACTAAAATATTTCAGCAATGAATCCTAACATTTACACTTGCATAGACAGAAAGCTGATAATCTTACTGATGAAAGAAAGTTCTTTAGTAGCAGATTACCAGACAGGCATCACGTCAGGGGACCATACTCTTCCCAGGTATTTAGAGACTTCAGTGTGAACCTCATCTGGACTATATTTACCATCAGGAACCAGAACTTCCTCCATGACAGACAGCTGGGTCAGCCTTCTCCCACAGAGTCTTACAAATTCAACGAATGCACTGCAGCTAACTTCACATTCACTGAGACCCAAGGCTGATAAGTTTTTACAGTGTTCAGCAATGCAAGTAAGTTCCTTATCGAGAGGCTGAAGACCATTTGCACACACCACTAACTCAATCAGTCGTGGGCAGTTAAGACCTATGCGGCCCAGAATCGCTTTGCTTACTGAACGACCAAAATAAAGGTGAGTCACGGGGGTTTCTTCTTTGAAGAAGGTGTCAAATTCTTCTTCGTATAAAAAGAAGTACATAACAATGTTAACTCCAGGGGAGTGTTTAATAAGTGCGTCCCAACTGTGTTTTTTAATAGAATGAAATTCAATATGTCCAGGATTTTCACTTACAACATCAATTCGAAGATGCTCAAGATTAACATGGGTCTCTCTGGAAAGTGCTAAGAGCAGTTCATCACTGAGGATGTAATAATTCAATGCCAGTTCTCTAAGACCTTGACAATGGTCAGCGACACACAGAATTCCTGGAGGCAATCGGGGGTAAAAAAGAACAAAGAATCATACTGATGCTACTATAATGTTTTATGAGTTTTGATCTTGATTACTATCTGCTAATATCTAATGATTTTTTCTTCTTTGTTTTTAAAGCAATACTGAGGCTTGGACTCAGAGCCTTTTAGTACTTTGATCCTCCTATCTATAATTCACATCTAGTTGGAATTATAGGCATGTACCACCATGTCCAGCTATTTGTTGAGATGAGGTCTTGCTAACTTTTTACCCATCAATTTTTCTGTGATCTTTCCAATCTGTGCCTCCCAAATAACTGAGATTGCAAATTATACCATACCCAACTATATTTAATAATTTCTAAGCAGATAGTTACCATGATATATAATTGTGTGTGTGTGTGTGTGTGTGTGTGTGTGTGTGTGTGTGTGTGTAAAATTAAGATATTCTCATTGGGTGCTGAGGATTGCAATTCAAAGCTATCCCAAGCATAAAAGCCTGTGTGAGACTCTTATCTCCAGTAAACTACCAAAAGGCCTAAGTGGAGCTATCGCTCAAGGGTAGAGCAGTAGTCTTGAGCAGAAAGCTTAACAACTGCACCTAGGTCCTTAGTTCAAGCCCAGGACAAGAAAGAGGGGGAGGAGGGAGAGAGGGACAGAAGGAGGGAAGGTAGGAAAGAAGGAAGAAGGGAGGGAGGAAGGAAAGAAGGAAGAAGGGAGGGAGGGAGGGATGGAGGGAAGGAGGGAAGGAAGGAAGGAAGGAACGAAGGAAGATATTCTCAGGAGAAGCAATTTAAGCTATATCTAGGTTGCAGATTAAGAGTCCTTTTGAATAAAATTACTTCAAGGAATTGTTTCATATGCATGTAATTTTCAGCAAGTACTTCTGTTACTACTACTATAATTTAAAAAAATCATTCACTCTTCAGAGATATCACTTACCATCAGATGACACATGAGGACAGCTGCTCATTTTTAGGAGTTTTAGTGTATCACTATTATTGGCCACAAGAATCTTCAGGGAAGGGTCGTCCACTGGGGTGTCTTCAATTTTAATTGATGACAATGATTTTGAGTTGACAAACACAACAGTGAGTGCCCACACAAAATGAGTCTGGCATGGCAACAAGAAGAAAACACGAGAAGGTTATTTTAAGATGCCAGCTTCAATTAATTCAGAAACAACTCATGTCAACAGATGCTAGGGAAACAATCAAAACCATCAAAATGGGGCTGGGAAGGTGGCTCAGTGGTAGAGCGCTTGCATGCATGCATGCATGAGGCCCTGGGTTCGATTCCTCAGCACCACATAAGCAAAAAGAAAAAAGCCGGAAGTGGTGCTGTGGCTCAAGTGGCAGAGTGCTAGCCTTGAGCTGAAGAGCTGAGGGACAGCGCCCAGGCCCAGAGTTCAGTCCCCACGACCACGACCGGACCCAAAAAACAAAATTAAATTAAAAAAAACCATCAAAACATTGCTCTTTCCATAGTATCATGAGCCAGAGGACATTCATCGTTTTATGATAAATGGAGTGATGAGAAAGGAGCAATTTCCAAAGCTTCACAAAATAAAGACTTGCAGTTATTTTCAATGTTAAGGGATTTGATTTTTAGTATTAAAAGGACAAACAGTAAATTTTGCCTTATCCATAATTTATTACATGTAATATTGACCAAGCAGGGACAAAAGTATGTATTTTTTTTAAAAACAACAGCAAAAAAAAATTTTAATTCCCACATTCTCATTACACAGCTCAGATGATGAGGGGACCTCTCAGGCTGGTATTATCACTGGTTGTAGTTAAATCATGGTGTGGTCAGCAGTTTCTCCACCTTTAATTTTGGGAAAATATGCCTCCCCAGAAAAGCAAGTGAAAGTGCCTAATTTTAGTGACAAAGTGAAAATCTGAGATTTGTTGAAGGTAACATGTCTTCAGTAAAAGTTGGGTGGTGGAATGAGAGCAAGAATCAAGTACTGAACTCTCTTCATCCTGAGCATGTGTGTTTTTTCCTCAGTGGCGATCTCCTTGAAACCATAACCCTGAGGATACCGAAGGTCTATGTACACTTGTTTCCTAGAAGAGGGGGTGGCATGTGATGGACCACCAGTCAAATTCAGCCCATGGTCTATCTCTGTATGCTTTATGAGCTAACAGTTTTCACAGTCACACCTTTAAAGGGCTGAAAATATATTGTATGACATAATCAAACGATATTGTATGACATGAAAACTATATGGAACTGATCTCAATGTCTACAAACACAGTATGTCTGGCACACAGCCATGTCTGTCCACCTCTGTAGTCTGTATTTTCTGGAGCTGAGTACGTGAGGCAGAGCTGGCAGAACCTCAAAGCCCATGACGCTTGCTTGTTGGAGGATTTCAACTCCTCCCCTAGAAGAAATGCCATTTTAATGCATTTTATTCATTCCCATATTTCCAGACCTCAAACAGCCTCTGGCACTTAGTAGATGGTAAGTGTTTCTTGAAAATGAGTGAGGAATGCAGGCATGAATGAATGGATATCACATTCTTTAATGACATGCTTTTCCTAGTAAATTATCTAAGCAGCACAAATCCAAATCTTTACATGCAATGAATACTTACAAATTAAAACTTATAGCTTCATAGTTTCACCCCAAAACTGATAGAAGTTTTGTTGTTGTTGTTGTTGTTTTGTCGGTCATGGGGCTTGAACTCTGGGCTTGGGTGCTATCCCTCAGCTCTTCAGCTCAAGGGGAGCACTCTATCACTTAAGCCATAGCGCCACTTTTGGTTTTCTAGTGGTTTATTGGAGATAAAGAGTCTCATGGACTTTCCTGCCCAGGCTGGCTTTGAATTGTGATCCTCAGATCTCAGCCTCCTGAGTAGCTAGGATGACAGGCATGAGCCACCAGCACCCGTCTCTGATAGAATTCTAAAAGCTTTCATATTCACTAGTTTTTCTTTTTGAGAAAGATAGAAAAGGTCTGGAAACCAAATCTAGGCATAATCATTTTTTCTTTTTCAAAATCAATTTGAATTCTATTAAAGGTTCTCTGGCCCTCATTAGAATGTACAACTATAATGCCATAAATGCTACGTAATTATTTAGAAAAAAAGACACAGATCTACAATTACAAATTATGACAGAATGAATCATTTTTCTTTGAGAAATGGAACTCTTTAACTGGTTCTCAATTCGATGTTAATCTTGATAGAATTTAAGCATTGGAATACATATCTTATCATGGTAATATCTTTGGTGAGCACTTTTTTTTTCGGTCATGGGGTTTGAACTCTAAGCTGGGCACTGTCCCTGAGCTCTTCAGGCCAGCACTCTACCACTTGAGCTACAGTGCCACTTCCCGTTTTCTAGTGGTTTATTGGTTTATTAAGAGTCTCACGGGCTTTTCTGCCTGGACTGGCTCTGAACTGTGATCCTCAGATCTCAGCCTCCCGAGTAGCAAGGATGGCAGGTGTGAGCTGCTGGCGCCTGGCATGATAGGCACTTCTTATGCTTAGTAAAGTGCTAAATAATTTTATCCCATTTTCCCTTAGATTACATGGGGGGAAAAAGTTCCAGTGCCACTGAGCAAGGTCACAGCAACCATACCACTCACACCGAACGGAAGGAAGCTGAGAAGAAGCCCGTAAGTACCTCATCTGTGATTGCCTTAGTGAATCTAGACTCTGGCCCTACAGGCTGGAGTGCAACAGGAGGCATAACTGCTAGAATCTACAAAGCATTTCAGGTCACTCTTATCCTGTAGTTCATAACCAGGAAAGTAACTACCAGTGTAAGTTTTCATCTGATTACTTGTATTACTTTAATCCCTAAATGACCCATTTTCCTTCAGTGTACCATACTCTTTTAAGATAAACAGGCCAGCAGATGGCTTGCTGAAGAGAACACGACCCAGTTTGCAAGACTGAAGATGCTGCTGTCCCTCTATCCTCTATGATAGGGGTTTCCATTGTCCAGTTTACTGACAACCATAGTTTAGAGCTTATCACAGATCAGCCACTGTTTTAATTATGGGTTTATTGGGGTAAAGGGAACAGACAGAACGTCTTTCTTTGGTGAATCTGTTTTGGTGTGGGGAGAAGACAAGGATCATGTTAAATACGGAAGAGACTTCAAGTACTGAATATAAAATACTGCAGGGCTGGGAAGGTGGCTCAGTGGTAGAGCGCTTGCCTTGCATGCATGAGGCCCTGGGTTCGATTCCTCAGCACCACATAAGCAAAAAGAAAAAAAGCCAGAAGTGGCGCTGTGGCTCAAGTGGTAGAGCGCTAGCCTTGAGCTGAAGAGCTGAGGGACAGCACCCAGGCCCAGAGTTCAGGCCCCACGACCGGACCCAAAAATAAAAATAAAAATAAAATACTGCAATACCACAGAAAGTAGGGTGCTTTTTTCACAAATGTGATTTGGGAAGGCCTCTAAGAAGATGACACTCAGATGAGGAACTGAGTGAAGGGAAGATAGCAGTTTCTGTGGCAGAGTCTGTGGATTACTTCCTAACAATCAACTAGCCTTCTTTGGGAATGCAGTATTAATTTTTAGCTGGGTACAATGCACTGAGCTAAAAGATTTCCTGTTTTCCCGGAAACCTCAGGCCCCAAGACTGAGATATAAATGGGATTGTCTCAAGTACTTCTGGGAAGTTTCCACGAGAAGGAAGTGGTCCCTTCTTCCCCATTCCTTCCAGCCAGCTACTCAGCCAGCACGGGATCATGGAGGGCCCTCAGAAAGCTAGAAGGACCCTGAAAAACAATGAAAGCACTCTGGGGAGAGGAGAGAAGCTAGTGGGAGCCTCAGTTCTTAACAATTCCAGACCAGCTACAGAATACCTCACCTGTGGATTTCTTTAATGTAAGAGAAATACACTTCAGTGATATAGGCTTTACTATATGAAACCAAACATGGTTCTAACTAGCACAGTTTATTCAGTTAAATATTGTATTCTTCTACTGCCAAGCAAGAGACCCTAGTATTATAGAAAAGTACCCAGAATAGCCTTTATGGCTTTATAGTCAAAGCAATTACATACACTGGCACTTGAAAATAGTAAGCATAGCATCTATATAAGTGCTATGTAAGTGACATCTACTGTGGGAAAATTACTAAAATGACAAGATAGCTTAAAAAAAATCAGCCAGGAATAAGTACTAGTCAAGAGAAAGCTGTAAGTACAAATACTCTGACTACTCATGGGATATGGACTGTCTTTACCAAAAGAATCCTTTTTGTCTGGTTTGACAGTATTTAAGACATTTAGCACACCTGACAAGAAAGCACAGAATCCCTACCTTTGACACATTCATGAAACTGGGCTTGGCTGTTGAGATGAGCCCCAGGGTCTGGATGGAACAGTTTACCAGCTGAGAAAGGATGTCACAGGCCGCTTCTGCTGACTCAGTGCTGCTATCCACCTAGAAAGACAGTTTCCAGCTGAACTTCCTGAAGACGACTTGACAGAGTTACTACAAATAGAGTCACTTAAACAAGTTGTGAAATTCTATTCATCCCTGCCATCCATATAAATGAGTATCTTTCTTTATACAAAATGTCTTGGGATTATAAAGAAGACGAATTAACTTTCCAAACACTTCACATTTTCAAATCTTTTACAGTAATAGCCAGATGAAGAAAACCAAACTTTGGGTTGTTCAGTTACAGTTTAGGCTCTCCACTTCAATCCCTATGCTAACTAGGGAAACCCAGGGAAAGGGTTTATGATAAAAATGCTGCCACTTAATCAAGTGCCTCAAGAAACAGATCCGGATCTACACAAGAGTTGTTAGCAAATGGTCAGTCATGCTTCCACTTAGTGTTATTTTCCTTACCTTAAAGCTGACATATTGGAGATGGGCCGCATGCTTCTTAATGATCTGCTGGATGAGATCAGGATGAGTGGACTTAAAATACGAAGTTGCTGATTGGTTCAGTTCAAACTCAAACTTCCTCCAAAGGTCAGGAATATGAAAGACCTCATTCCATCGCCTACACACAGAAGATGCTCGGGCTCGATCTATTAAAGGAAGATACTGAAAAATCTGCAACACCACATGGTGAGGCAAACCCCCCCAGTCGACAGCAGCAGCACACATGTGAGTCTGGTGGAGAGAAGAGCAGAGCCCACGTTTGGGCTGCTTTAGCGCCGGGGAACACTGGACAATTTTATTCACCACAGAGAGGTTATTCCTCTTCATCCTGCAAACATTAGAAAAGTGTGACATGTATGACCTTCCCACCAAATATTTCCATAAAATATTTGTACTCTAACTGTAAAGAATGACATCAGAAACTAGAAAATTGTTTAATGAATGTAAATTCTATCCTCCTCCACTTTTATGCCCTGATGGGTGCTGCTCCGTGCTGAAGACACAGAGATAAATAAGCGTAAATCTAGTCTCAAAGCTATGATCAATGGTAAAGTAGAATCAGTGGCACGAAAACAGATGGGACCGGCTACAGAGAAATAAAGAGACGTCATGTGACTGAGTGTGTATGGGATGAGGAGACCTCCAGAGGTAATGTCTCAAGTTTGTTTGTTTTCCTAGACAATGATTGTGTCTTCTACCAAGGAGGAAGCATGGTACTGACATTCTGCTAAGAACACAGGAGAGCTCTGTGAGACAGTGCAACCAAAGGAACAAGTCCAGTACCCCTCAGCTGAGCCGCTTATTGGCCCTGTGATCTGATGGCGGCAAGGCCTCCCCGTGCCAGTCGTGGGGGCAGGGACAAAGGCACTACTTGGAGCTGCTGGGGGAACTGAAGCTCCCTGACTGATGTGCCAGTTCACAGCACACGCTCAGTTGAGTGCTGCAGTTGTGCTGCTCTATGTGAAACCATCCCGATGCCTTTTTCTGAACTATTTTCATTGCTTCATTCAAAGCACAATTCTAACAAAAAGTCAAATGATCTGCAATAGTTTTCAGATGACAAGTAACACATGGGAGAGGCAGGGCTCTAGAGAAGGGGGATTCAGCAGGGACAGTCTTTGTTCAAGCAACACACTGGATCTTCTCTAAGCAATGACAAACAGCTTGGTAGCAGACATTCTTCCCCTTTCCCCCAAAGAAATGATGACATCTTCAGGTATTAGCCATCTTTGGATACCACTAAGCTCCAATTAATTTGAAGCCTAGATACATTCAAATATGTATGGTCACTTTCTACATGTATTTGGGGCTGAATCCAAAGCATCTTAAGTATACAACTGTTTAAATGGGAAAAAAAATACTAAGTGAGGTTCTAAACTTTAGGAAAACTAGTCCCACTTTCTCCCTGCAATGTTAAGAACATATCTGGGAGATTAGGTGTCATAACTAAAACATACCTTCAAATCTAATAAAGTACTTATTTAATACGAAAATATATCTGCTTCATGATTCACTCTGTCTAATGGGAAGCATTTCTTAACCACAACACAGGAGCATGACTGACCTATAAAATTACTGAACAAAATGAAAAGTCATCTTTAGGACTTTGAAAATTGAAGTGGAAAACAAAAACAGCTGCAAAGCTGTATCTCTTTAGAGAAAGAGCTGCTACATCCACTTCAGTGTTTACACAAGCTAGTTACACACACAACTATCTCCTGGATTATCCAGCCCCACAAAATAGAAATATATAAACCTGTAACACTAGGTCCATAAAATATTAAGGTAAGGAGTGGAAGCTGGATTTGGAACTCAAGAGATTGAACACACTCATTAATATTTCTTATATCAGTTTCATTTAGTAATCTACAAAATGGAGAAAATTCCATTCAACTTAATTTCTAAAAAAAGTTACTCCTAAAATAATCCTTTATTAGAAAAAGTGACGCCAAACATAAAACACAGGCTTCATCCAATTGCCACCTTAAAAAACTGCTTTGCAAATTCTCTTAAACATTGTGCTACATATTAAATCTCATTGTTTATGTCATGTGGACCGTTAAAATTGAGTAAAGTCATTTTGGCAAATGACTAATAGTAGAATTAGCATAAATAATTACATATTATATTAATACTGATGATTCAGTAAAAATAATGCTTTCAATTTCTTTTTTCCTAATGTATATTAATTATTGGAACATAAACACCCCTACAAATTACAAACTTTATATAAAGCAAGTTTATGACAATGTAGACCACAAAAATATATTGTAGAATGTAAGTCAAATCCATCTCTTTTTTTTTGGGTCCGGTCCTGGGGCCTGAACTCTGAGCCTGGGCGCTGTCCCTTAGCTCTTCAGCTCAAGGCTAGCGCTCTACCACTTGAGTCACAGTGCCAATTCCGGCTTTTTTCTTTTTTTGCTTATGTGGTGCTGAGGAATCAAACCCAGAGCCTCAAGCATGCAAGGCAAGCACTCTACCATTGAGCCATCTTCCCAGCCCTCAAATCCATCTTTTATCCTTGAAAAGTTGGATATAAAAATTCTAGTCAAGGGGCTGGGAAGGTGGCTCAGTGGTAGTGTTTGCCTTGCATGCATGAGGCCCTGAGTTCCATTCCTCAGCACCAAATTAAGCAGAAAAAGCCAGCAGCACATAAGCAGAAAAAGCTGGAAGTGGCACTGTGGCGCAGGTGGTAGAACACTAGCCTTGAGCCGAAGAGCTGAGAGACAGCACCCAGGCCCAGAGTTCAGGCCCCCATAACCAACCCCCCACACAAAAAAATTCTAGTCAAAATATATGATTATTTACAAAACTGATCACTGCTTCAAGTTAAAGAAATTAAGTTTTTTTTTTACTGTATTTTGTTGTTGTCCTTTTGGTATTTGTTCCCCAAGCATTTCTTACCTTAAAGAAATCTTTGATGTCATAAGTAACTCTGAGCCAAGGAAATAGAGCAAGTTCAGCCAGGAGAAATTCACCAGCATCCATCTGATGTCATCCCCTGTCTCAGCAAAATGCCACAGAACATACTCATCAGGGTACAGAAGTGCACATCCAGTCAGCCTATTTATATACCACTGTATACATATTAAAGGCTTGTGCTAGGGAATTACTAATTCCAAATTACTAGCCTGGAACTATTACAATACTTGAGGCTCTACTATAGATGGAGCAAAGCCTGAAAACTCACATTTGAATTAACACTTATGGAAAGAGATTAACAAAAATTTAAGGTAGCTCATGCCTCTATTTATTTGATTTGATTAGTTGATTAGGCTTTTTTTGTGTGTGATATTAGGATTTGAACTCAGGGCTTCACTCTTTCTAGACACATGCTCTACTACTTGAACCATGCTCCCAAGTCCTTTTTTGAGTTATTTTTCAGATAAGCTTGCCTGCATTCTTATATGGCCTCAAACTGCAATCCTCCTCCTACACCTACAAAGTAGCTGGGATTACAGGTGTGTACTACCATGCTCCATCCCTGCACTTATCTGTTTATAGGTTGTATACATCTTTCAGATCTCATGTTTGCAGCACAGAACACAATGACAGCAATAATAACCAAAATATTTGTATAGTATTATTGTTTCCATATGAACACACTTCAACTGCTCTGCTATTAATAGAACATACACAAGAGCTTTTCAACTTTTCATTTATAGTGATAGATCTGTCATAAATTCATTCATAGTTTATCTGAGGTTTGGCCAATCCAGGCAAATGATTTGTCTAAATTAGGAGAGAGAAAAAAAGAAAAGAAAGGAAGAAAATAGTAGCAAGTTAACTAGGATAAAATCATGTCCTTGGCATCATGGGTAAATGTAAAACAAATAAGTGATATTTCTACTTCTGTAAGCTACATAAAAGTAGTAAGTGAAGCAACCCATTAATCTACTAAAAATGTTTCTTAAATCTAGCTGAGTGCCAGCAGCTTATGCCTGTAATCCTAGCTTCATGAAGGCCTGTTCAGGTAGAAAAGATCATGAGACCCCCTTCTTAACCTGTAACTGGGTGCTATAATGCACACCAGTTATCCTAGGCTACCTGGGAGTCTGACATCATGGAAGATCATGGTTCCAGGTCAGCCTGGGGGAGAAAAGTCTGCAAAAGCCTCCATCTCCATGGAGGGAGTTGCACACAGTAGTGAATGCTAACATACATGTTCTGTGACACAGGCATGTGCCCAGATAGAAAGCAAGAATCTATTCTAAACAGGGCTGCAGCATGCCACTGATGGCAGAATATCACTGAGCTTGAAACGCCAGCATTGCAAAAAAAAATTTGGGGGGGGGGGGGCAGTCATGGGGCCTGAACTCTGGGCCTGGGCGCTGTCCCTCAACTCTTCAGCTCAAGGCTAGCCCTCTACCACTTGAGCCACAGCGCCACTTCCGGCTTTTTTTCTCTTTTGCTTATGTGGTGCTGAGGAATCGAACCCAGGGCCTCATGCATGCAAGGCAAGCGCTCTACCACTGAGCCACCTTCCCAGCTCCCCCAAAAAAAATTTTTTAAGGCTTCACTCTCTCTCAGTATCCTTCTGAATTCCACTCATCAAGCTGACCTTTGAAGGGCAAAAGAGGGAATGCACTTGGGTTTACTGCAATCTGATCTCTGATGCCATCTGTCAAATCACTGTTTCCAGATAATGGCAGAGGCAGCTCTCCCTTCTGTACATTCTATCCAGAAGAGTAAGAGCAGCTACTGAACACACTCTGAAAAACACCATAAACAGAAGCAACACGAGTCAAGTGACCTGATCATTTCTCCCTAATCCACTCCTTTTAATCTTTTAGAAAACTGTTAACAAGCAACACCTGTCCCTTTGTAGGGGGGTACATTGTCAATTTCCACACACATGCAAAACAGGAACTGATCAAATCAGGTGCCTGGCAGTTCCATTTCCTTTAGCTTTTCTTGTGTTTGGAGCTTTCAAGCTCCTCTCTTCTGGTTCTCACTCTAGTGAACTAAGTCACCCCTCTGGGCTGTGGAACACTACATCTTACTCCTCCTCACGGTGTTGCTACTCCCTACCCTACCTTCCCCTCTAGCCTGTGGCTACCACACTCAAGGGAACATGAAAAACATTCAGAGACCATCCCTCTGTATCTGCCTGTGGACCAATATTTAAGCAGAGAATTCTGAAGTCATCTGGAAAGGTGGGAACCGCTTCCTACTGGCACACAAGGGTCAATCTCAGATCAATTCTCAGAGGTGTTCAGGGCCAGATGACTTTCTTCCTTGGCAGCGGAAAGAACATGACTGCTATCTAAGTCGCTAGGTGAAATTATGATGGATGAGAACCAGGATACCATACTCTACCAAGTAAG